ATGAGAAAAGAAACATCTGCCAGGCACTTCTAGAGGATCTCCAGGTGCACATTCTTCCGCTAGATGGAAATATTCTACATATGAACTGCTCCAAAACCCTGGGCCAGAAACTGTTGTTCTGGCCCCCAGAAACTTTATTATGGAAAATCCTGTTTCCCTGGGTAATTTGAATAAGGAAGTTAAGTTTGTAAAGGATTGGAATTATTAGAAAGATTATAACATATATTAGTTAATTTGGGATATAAGTTTTGCTTTAAGTAGAGTTGTTTAATGAGAAGCTTTATAATTTTATAATTTTGGGATCTTATAATGGCGGGTTACAGGAATTGTTTTTTACAGGGTAACATCATTGTGTTGGGATTATGTTGTTTTGGGTGGAAATAGTTTCCGCCCTTTAGAGAACATTGACCAAGCACAGAGAGGAATACTTAAACTTAAGCATAGTTATTACATCACAAAAAACCCATGTAATTTGTTTTAAGTGATTTGTTTTGTAATGATGATTTTAACTTGCTCTGTGGCAGCAACTTGCAGAGATTATTTCCCTTGTAGAGAGAAATACAAGCTCACCACTACTTGCAATAAAACGGCATCTGCATTCTCATAACAGGTGTCCAGTCTTTCTCTCTCCCTTCTTTCTCTCTTTCTCACAAATCACCTACGCCATCTCTACCTTTGAGAATCTCTGAACTCTGCCAGAGCAGGACTCTGGCAGTACAGTCATCTCCGGTGTCCATGGGGAATTGATTCCATTGATACCAAAAGTCAAAGATGCTAAAGTCTCTTATACTAGAGGGTGTGGTATTTGCATATAAACTACATACACTTTAAATCATCTTTGAATACTTTAAATCATCTCTAGATTACTCATATTACCTGATACAATGTAAATGCTATGTAAATAGTTGCTATACTGGATTGTTTAGAGAACAATGACCAAAAAAAGTCTGTACATGTTCAGAACTGATGCTTTTTAATTTTTCTCATATTTTTGATCCATGGTTGGCTGAATCCATGGATGCAGAACCCATAGATACGGAAGGCTGACTGTGTTCTGTTCACAGATCCTAAGATTGATGCTTTTCTAACTCAGGTCTACTATCAAAGCCAATATTCTATATATTGCACAAAGTTTCTTTCTTTGATGAAAGAAACTTTGCTGCTGAAACATCCTCTTCTCCCTTAAAGATATAATTCAAATCCTCTTCTCCTTTAAAGATATAATTCAAATAACTGTGGATTTATTAGATTTGTCTCTTCAGCCTTCCTTTTCAGGACTAAGTATCTTATTTTCTCTGAGCTTACATCACAAAAGCTCCTTAATATTCTTTTGAGCTTTTTTTTTCACTCTTTAATGGGTCTTTAAATCTCATTAATTTAATCACATTACTCTTACTAAGACAGGCTATATTAATAGGAAAATGAGTTGATGCTAAGTTACCTTCGGGCGCATGACTTTCATGCATTTATATCTACAGTGCTGATTTTAAAATATGTGCTGATTTTTAATATTAGTTTAAAATGTTAGTGTTGGCTGGGCTTTGTGGTTCAGCCTATAATCCCAGCACTTTGGGAGGTTGAGGTGAGTGGACTGCCTGAGCCCGTGGGTGTGAGACCAACCTGGGAAACTTGGCAAGACCTCATCTTTACAATAAAACAAAAAAATTAGCGGGCCTGGTAGTGCCTGCCTGTAGTTCTGGTTACTTAGAAGGCTGAGGCGGAAGGATCGCTGGAGCCCAGCAGGTCGATGCTGGGGTGGCGGTGAGTGTGCTACTGCACTCCAGCCTGGGTGACAGAGAGAGACTCCAACTCAAAAAAAAAAAAAAAAGTTAGTGCTGAATGTAGTGATTTTTAAAACATATCTATAAACAATGGCATTTTGTAAAAAGCAACATTAAATTACTTAATGTGCATATTACTAGAATATCTGCTGAATTTAATTTCTTGTCAATAATTGAATTTTAAAAATATATGTATTTTTGCATACTACAATCCAGTTTCTACTGTTTTCTTTCTCTCACTAAATGGCAAAGTCATCTCAACTTTATTCTAGTTTTCTCAGATATAACAAAAAATATTTCTGATAGGCCAAACTAAAATATAAATCTAATTGGGTTTTAAAAAGTAGCAACAACAACAAAACCAATAAACAACAAAAACTAAACAAACAAACAAACAAAACCCAAGGTTTAGTCAGCCCTTCATTTGTTCATTCATTCATTCAACATTTAAGTATCTATTGGATGCTGATCTCTGTGTCAGGCCTTCGGGATATAAAGACAAACACATACAAATGTATACATTTATGACTAAAATTCATTCTAGGAAAATAGAAGTTGAAATAGTTACAGTTCCAAGGAAGTTCAAATTGTTAGAAATCTAAAGAAAGAAAACACTTTTAGAAATCAATTAGTTTCTGCCTCTGCCTGGTATTCACCAAGATATGGCTAACCTGTAGTGTGGTGGGGGGAGCTGCTGGATGACATCATGAATTTTTATCAGCCTTTCTTCATCTGTTGCTGCTGAAACGGCGTCCTGTAATGTCACAGTGCAAAATATACTAGGTGAGCTTTGTTGGTAAAAATGAAAACTCTTCACTCACAAATTTGTTATCACTCTGAGACTAACTTACTCTTTGATGCAAAATGACAAGGAAACACAACATAATAACAAGGAAGTATGAACACTGAAATCTACTCATATAGAAATTTAAGAAGCTTGATAGTAACCAGTATTAAGGATGATAAGATTTGTGGCTCAAAGTCAGAAAGTAAAAGAATGACAATGTGAAAACAGCAAGACTATGGACTATCTGGCAATACTTGTTTTTTTTTTTTTTTTTTTTAGGAAGTCATTTTATGCACAGAACTATTTTTCACATGTGACCAAATCAATCTACACATGTTCCCAGAAAAGCTCCACAAATAACTTGATTCAAAAGTATCTTGTGCATGATCAATGTTTGTATACTTAAACCTGAAATGTATCTCACATCTTTATAATAAAAATTAAAACAAACAAACAAACAAAAGTGTCTTGTACTCACAGAAAATTTCTCATACAGCTGGTAGGTGAGCAGAGGATTTGGGAGCTCTCGGAAGTACAGCTTACAGAGGGAGCCCACAGAATGGATGTCTTGAACATATGGCTCTTTCGTCAGGTCGGGGACATGCTCAGAATCAAATTCATGGCTAACATAGATAGAAGATGGTTAACAATTCTTTTACTGAAGGAAAGCAAATACATGACTTCAAAACAGAAAGCAAAGGCCCAAAGTGTTCTGTTCTACTTTACTGAGTTATTTTCTTCAATCATATGTTATATTTGGACTTCAGCAACAATTGGATGTCTTATCATAAGACAGGTATCATTCTACATAGAAATTACGGGCACAGCTTTAACATTAAAATGGACAATAACCTCTGAAATGCATACAAGTAAGCAGCTCTGACAGCACAATGATGTGAAACAGAACTCCTAATTTCCAATAGTATAAATATCCACTATTTTGACAATTCCAGAAACTAGAGTTGAATGGCAACTGGTTCATGAAACTACTTTGTACAGAAATTCCTCAGATACAAGTTAAATAGCTTGGGAATGCTTTACCAAAGTATGAAGAAGAGGCAAGAAACAATTTACAGCAATTCCCAGCTAAAAACAAATTTTAATAGACAATAAAATCTGTAACACAAGCCGGGCTCGGTGGCTCAGCCTGTAATCCCTCGCTTGGGGAGGCTGAGGTGAGTGGATTGCCTGAACCCATGGGTTCGAGATCCACCTGGGCAACTTGGCGAGACCTTATCTCTACAATAAATAAAAAAAAATTAAGCCGGGCTCGGTGGCTCAGCCTGTAATCCCGCGCCTTTGGGAGGCTGAGGTGAGTGGATTGCCTGAGCCTGAGGGTTTGAGACCCGCCTGGGCAGCGAGACCTCATCTCTACAATAAATCAAAAAATCAGCCAGGCTTGGTAGTGCATGCCTGTAATTCTGGCTACTTGGAAGGCTGAGGTGGAAGGATCGCCGGAGCCCAGCAGGTCGAGGCTGCGGTGGCCAGGAGCGGCCACTGCACTCCAGTCTGGGCGACTGAGTGACACTCCAACTCAAAAAAAAAAAAAGAAAAAAGAAAAAAAAATTAGCTGGGTGTGGTAGTGCGTGCCTGTAGTTCCAGCTATTTGGAAGGCTGAGGTGGAAGGATCACCGGAGCCCAGCAGGTTGAGGCTGTGGTGGTCAGGAGCAGCCACTGCATTCCAGTCTGGGTGGCAGAGTGAGACTCCAATTAAAAAAAAAAAAATCTGTTACATTAGCATGAGTAAAATAAAAGTTGTGCTCAGAATACTAAGACAGAATTAAGTTCACTCTCCAAGAGGTTAATTAATATTAATCCACAAGCAAGAAACCACTTATCTTCTATCCAGAGGATTAATGTGTGTAGACAATCTGACTATGAGATTTATTGTGTCTTACACTAAAAACTGAAACTGTCATTAGTACAAGAACCAATTTAAGTATTTTCCAAACATGTAATCTTGAAAACAGAGATGAGCTTTGTGGTCAATTAAAATATTTAAATCCCCGAAGAATAACAGTAGTTACCATGTACCATGGTGAAAAAGAAAAGATAATAGCATATCAAGAACAGACTAGCGTCTAAGGGATTAAGCAAAAATAAAATTTATTTTGGTGACATAGAGAATATCACTATTTTCATCTCAGAGAAGATAATGGAGAGGATGTGAGATATGTAACACATGCATATTTGGGTATACACTGAATAAGAGTCCATGAAGATTAGAAAAGGTTTCATTCCCAACCATTTTAATGAAGAACTAAAGGATATTTCTATTATAATGTAAATTTTATCTTTTATGGTTGTCATGGGTTCAGACACAATTTGCTAAAACCTTCAAACATTATGAAGAGGCAAAATACAAGTAGTGAAGAGATCAATGTGCATGATTCTCTGGTACTACAGATGAAGAAATATCATTTATAAAAATATACAGAGAACAATATGGATATTATTTCCTATTTTATCTAAACTATCTTACTGAAAATTATGATTATCAAAGTAAGTGACTCAATTTTGAAATAATTTCATTTTAATGAGTTAAACAGGAGTGAAAAATGAAATGCCATGTAAGATTTTACCGTAGTCTCTGGATATTGGATGCAACTCCAGAAAGACGATATATTCCATCCACAATACCATATCTTTCAATGAATGCTGTGCAGCTTTGAAGAACTTGGGGCACTAAAGAGAATTTTTAAAGACATAAATTAAATCGGTAATCATACTGGAACAAGAGTCAGCAAAAAATAAGAACACCTTAGTTTTCAAAAGCAAAATAAAATTTGTAAATTAAAGTAAAAAGGTGCAAAGATTAATTTATTACAAAAAATGATGAGGGTACATCTACTTAATTTCACATCTAAACTAGGTAACTACTTTCTGACTAATCAAGATTGGTTCTATGTTATGACAGTTAGGTAAGTAAAAGAATTCATACATTATTAGGATAGTGTCTCTTCTATAGTAGATTTATTTAGATTATGTTACCATAATAAGGTGAACTGTCCAGTCCTAACACTGTGCCAGATTTTTCTAAAATGCAACTTTTCAGCTGAATTTTGTACATAGGAAATGGATATACAAAGCCTAAATGCTTATCCCAACAACATAATTGCTTGTAAGTACTGCAATGTTTCACTTATAAAAAAAGTGTCTTTTATTTTTTCAGTTAATGCTAATTCTAATTTTATTCAACAAACAAAACACCAATATAATGCAAAGGCCATGGCAATTTCAAATAGATAGAATCTTATAATTTCCTGCCCATCTTTACATTTATTTTATTGACATTTTTACTTAATATTATCAGCTCATCATAAAGTACATGCTAAGAATTAGTAGAAAGAAGAGTATGTACTCTCAGTACACAAACGCACCGTTATTCTGGGGCCTACAGTCTAGAAGAAAACCTTCAAATTATATGATAAAAATTGTTATAACCATTTGAAAATTTATAATAGCTGAGATTTGAATATTATTTGTTTTGCAATGCAGATTGATGAGCTTACAGACTTTAGTAACTATGGTCATTTGATAGTGTTAGTCAAAATCCCTGAAAAGAAATGCTTGGAAGAACATTACGTCATCTGCAATGAACTACTATATATTAGGGATGAAACATTCAGCATAGCAAATGAAACAAATAAGATATTTTAGTAAGATGATTTTAGCGAATACATTTATAGTATATTGCTATGCCATTCTTTTATTATTATAACAGAATTTTCCTTGGTTTTCCTGCCTTTTGTTGTCCTTCTGCAGTCTATCTTTAAATTCTGTCAGATCCTATAACTGCATTTTAAACTTAAACTCCTTATCTTTTATTTTAAAAAATAACCAAACCAGCAGCTGATAGTATTGCCCCATTGAGCACTTAAGATGTGGCAGGCTAAATGCTTTACAATGGATACTCTCTGATTCTCACAGAAATCCTAAGGGAGAAAGTACTATCATTATCCACATCTCTCTGAAGTGTGCTTCAGAGAGATGAAGTTTTACCCAAGGGCAGGCAGGAAACAGGCAAAAATGAGATTCGAATTCAAGCAGTCCAAGTACTGAGTCAATGTTTTTAACTACTGCAATATACTGCCTGGTATATAAGGCCATTCAGAAATTACCCCTAATTATCATCATAATTCACATTTCACAACTAGAGTTATTTCACAACTAGAGTTGTGGCCTAGAGACCGGTTGAAGTGTCACCCTTTGCCATATAAAGCAGCTATTCTCTAACTGCTTCATAAAACAATAACCTCTGCTGGGACTCCCTCACCACCCTCTTCATAGGGAAAATGCTTAGCTATTGTCTAAAACCCAGCTAAACTATCACTCTTAACCAAGCCTTCCTTCAATGCCCATAAGTAGAGGATAGGTACAGCACTATGCTCTATGTGCTCACAGAATGGTATTATAATCATAATTTGCTTACATAGCCATCACCCCTTCTTGACTACTGGCTGTTCAACGGTAAAAACCAGGCATTGTTCATCACTGAGCAAAGCTCAGGAGCACTATCCTGACACAATGTACAAAATTAGCAAGTGAATTAATTTGCAGGTGCTCTGAAAGCCTGAAAAAGCTACCTGATCAAGTTAGCAGAGGGAGGACCTTAGTTTTCACACGGAGCTGAATTCATTTTCAACTAAATGCTTTCTGCCTCTAAAAACATTTAGGGCTTTGAGTAACAAGAAAGGGATATATTTATATAGTAAAGATGAAGGGCAGGCAGAATTGTCAGGTACTATTTGTGGATTGACTTTGATATAAGAAGTAATCTTTGTGTCAAAATGATATGAAAAATATACAGTACCTTTATATAACATTGGATTCCATTTCTAACATTTTTCCACCAATGATAACCTCAGTGTCTTAGGTTTCTATTCTACAATCTAGAAGTGGAATAACAACATTTGGGGCTAGAAATTTTTTGTCACTTACTTCAAAGGGAATGTATTTGGAAATTACTGGGATGATTAACATAATTACTTAAAGAGAGAGCGGACAAGAGCTTTAACTCTTTTCCTTAAAAGAGACTTCTCATTATGTATGCTCCAAATTGATATGCTAACTCACCCAGGCACACGGCAGGTTTGTCTTGAAAGAAAACCCTTCAGAGTATAGGATCATATTTCCATATTACCAAGGTATCCTAGCATACATTATATTGTAAAATATTCATAAAAATAAGCTACTATGTATAAAAAAGCATAAATAACATTCCCTGGACTCTAATAGCTGTGTAATATTAGATTCTTATCTGCTTGTATTCTCCAAAATAAGTAGGAACACTTTGAAAATATAGAGAACTAGAGGTCTTTCCCTGCTAATATAACCAAGCCCTTACAGACATAATAATACTTCATGGAAAGAATCTGAATTGTTTCCTTATGTTTTATGTTTCCTATGTAGAATAACTTAAAGTCTATAAAATAATCATATAATGAGGTTTAATAAATAAAATTACATAACTATTAATTACAATTTTAAGAGACACAAACGAGACATTTAAAAAACTAGGTGGCACTATGAAAGAAAAACATAAACTCTAATTTTGAAGAAAAGAGAACAGAAACTAAAAAACAGTGTCAGAAGGTAAAAAGTAAAAAGATCTGACTTCTTTTTTACCAATGTGTAGGAAAGCAATAAGAGAATTCACTGTATTATGTTTTCTAAAAAATCCTACTTAAAAAAATGGTATTTATTAGCAACCCCCCTAAACAATCTAACCAATCAGACAAATGTACACCAAATGACCAGTCAAAATATAACATTAGAAACCTCCAGAATGGTTCCTCCAAAAGATGATGCGACTTATTCCCACTATCTCCAAATAATACACTTCTGAGCCACCTTAATTTATAGTCTTAGTTTTTAAAATATCATATGAAAATAGAATAAGTAAATATTAAAATAAAATTGGTCCCTAAAATTAGAGTCATGGTTAAAAAGTAGGAAATAAGTATGACAAGAATTTATTTTTGATTTTTCTTGACAGTTTCATTTCTATTTTCTCTTCATTCACTCACCCACTTCCTTATTCATCAATCATTTATTTAATAAATGTCCTCTCTATTTACCAGGTATCATGCAAGTATTACAAATACAGATGAAGAAGTAGAGTTCATTTTTAGAAAGGTGGCTTCCAGGCTGGGAGTATGTGAGCATGGTGTTATACATTTAGAATGTGCAGCATGATTTTTGGTTTGGAAAATATGATTGTCTAAAGGATTAATTTCCAGTGTTATCTGGGTCTTGTTTTTTTCTTACTGTGCTCTAGTTACAAAATCCTTGTCCATAACATAGAAATATGTTCAGGCAACAGTTTCCTTTCCTTGGGTTTTAAGATATTTTTTGTATTTTGTATCAAACATAATTTTACCCAGTTTTCTACAAAGTTCTCACCATTTTGTTTTAGCAATTTCAATACAAACTTTAAAGAAAATTTGGTTTTAAATATGTGCAACAAAAAACTCAAGTTCTATGGAAAAAAAGTCAACCACTCTCTGTTCTGTTCAAATAGATTTTATTGTAATTAGGGAATACATGAACACTGTAGTTAAATCAGTTATTTTTAAGAAAGAAATGATATATTGGCATCTGTCCTCTACTATCATTCTTCTAAAGAAAGGAAAAATACCTAAAACTTCTAAGTACAACCAAAACCAAACTTATATTTGACAGGTAATGAGCATGGCAGAACAAACTGGAAATCCTTCACTCGCATTAGTGGCCACATCTAAGTAAGGTTGAACAATGGCAAGAAATATAAAAAGGAATAGAAATTAATGTAACAAAAACATTTTGATGCTATAATAAGGATGACCAAGCAAATGACAAATTAGTATACTCTATGCACCAAAGTACTATGTGGGCAGATTTTTAAAGAATCAGTTCTATAAATCAGTGGATCCCCAACCTTTTGGGCATCAGAGACAGGTTTTGTGGTAGAGAATTTTTTCATGGATGGAAGGGGATGGGGGAGTGGGGTGGTTTTGGGATGATTCAAGTGCATTACATTTATTTTGCAGATCAGCAGCAGCATTAGATTTTCATAAGAGAGCACAACCTAGATTTCTTGCATGTGCAGTTCACAATATATTTCGTGCTCCTATGAGAATCTAATGCAGCTGCTGATCTGATAGTAGGTGAAGTTCAGGTGGTAATGCCAGCAATGGGGAGCAGCTATAAATACACATGAAGCTTCACTCACTTGTCTGCCGCTCACCTCTTGCTGTTCGTTCCTAATAGGGGTTAGGAACCCCTGTTATAAATAACTAACATAGTCTTTAATCAACTCAAGTAAAAGCACGGTAGTTTGTGATAGAAACTGTATGATCTTTTTGCGTGAATCCTAGCCAAGGGACCACAAATAAAAGAACAAAAAGAAAATTGCCTTGTCAGGCTCCTATATGACTTGTTACAACATTTTGTACAGAAGAAACAGGTCAGGTTTGTCACTTGCTGCAACAGGGAGGTGCTCAAAAGCTTAGAAAGTGTCACAGGATAATCTCTCTATAAAGTTAATTGTTCACCACGAATTATTCAGAGAATGAGTCACCTAACAAAATGAAATTCTGATACGAGCTTCCTTCTCAGAAAAATCTGGTGCAAAATCAATTTTGTTTAGGACAAAGTCACTATTTTAAGTTTAAACTAAAACAGAATAACTGTGACAAAGAACAATTATATACATAATTATCTCTATTATATATACTATACATCTCATCTCTCCTCATAATTATGTATATTGTATATGTGCATCATTCTTCTTCATGATTATTCAAATTGTTTTTATTTGGATTTAAAATATCATATATAATATATACTCAGTCCTATTGTTTTGGACTTTAAAACAATTTCTCTCTATATGTGTGTGTAAATATATATATATGGTATAACTGCAGCTATAGACAACAGACAATATATGTGAAGCCTCAAAATATTAAAAAACTAAAACTCCCACATATTTATTAAAAGACTAACAAATATTTTAATATTAAAAAACTATCTTTTCCTAATTAAAATTTTAGCTAAACTTTAAGTTTTCCTTTTCTTACTAATTTAGTATTCATTTGAATATTCAAATGAACATCCTCCTTATGAATATTTATTATTAATTTCTTACCATCCCCAATGAAGCAGGTGGATATTTTAATATTCCAACTAGAATATAATTGACCTTAGTCTTCAAGGTTTCTGACAACTAAAGTTTATTAGACTGTAATTACACTCTAATATCACAAATTAACTTTTTTTGTTGTTTTTCTATCATTTGAGTATAGACTTTCTCTGTTGAACAGGTCATCAGCAGACAGTTTCATACGTTCATCTTCTAGGACTATTAAATTCATGTCTCATATTCCTCTAATTTTTTAAACTGAAAAATCAAGACAACTGAGAAAAAAATCACAAAGACATTCACTGCATCTAATAATTTATCAAAATTATATTCATTTTACATATCACCTAAGTATTTATACTTTACAAAGTTATATCCACGATTTACTGTAACATTTTCAAGTGTAACACTGTATTTAAACTTATAATTTTAAATAAATTCATAACTTATAGAACAATTCCCCCAAAGTTAGTAATTTAATTTTTTTGTTTCATACATAATGTCATAATGCCAAAATGCACATTTTTGTTTCTATCCAATTATAAGGTTAGGATAAATCCCTAAGGAGTGGAATTGCCATATGAAAGGAATGCTATAAAGTCTCTTGCTATGAAGTGCTAAAATATTTTCCAAAAAGATTGTACTAATTCAGAGCTACCTGAAACCAACAATTCTTACCTATTGGTAAAAATCACTGCTATCTTTACTGGCACTGGATATCATAATTTAGAAAAACAGTTTAATTATTTTAATAATGTTTACCACTGTAAAATGGTATCTCAAAATTGTCTCAAGATATGTTTCCATGATTACAAATAAGGAAAACACTTCTGTATTTTGTGTATTATCTATCACCCTATGATAATTATGAGTTTATATCTTTTCTCCATTCTCTTACTCAGGGCCTTACATTTTCTGAAAAATCTGAATGATACTCTCCTACCCTATGACAGCAGCATTTTATCATATCCAAAAAATTGATTATTTTTCCTAGTCTAGTACTTCTTACTCCACATTTGTTATTTTTCATTAAATGAAAAGTATATATTTGAAGTTACCTCTTTTTTTTGTTTAAATCTGAGAAAGCTATTATTGTTTTTTTTTTTTCCAAAACAAAATCAATTCATATTGGCAATTCTATAAGTTTCAAATGGTTAATCATCTTACATATTTGGAGTTTATCTTCAGTGTCACATTCAGAATTAATTCAGAATTAATTCTTTTTAAAACTAATTATTTCATTATCTCACTAAAACTATACTTTGCCACAATGGATTTTTATCTACAGCATTAACTATTTCTGAACATTCTAAACTGTTTCATTCACATTTAATTCTTTGTACAAACTTTGCCTTTCTAGTTTTGAGTACTGTTTTAATATCTGGCAAAGCTAGATGTCTCCCATTCTATTGCTGATTTTCCCCTCCCCACATGCTCTTTTATATTCCCACTGGTTGATCTTTCCATGTGTATTTTAACTAGTTGCAAAAATAATCCTCTGAGTTTTTGTTTTTTAGAGTACTGCATTAAGTTGATGGTAGTTTGGAAATAACATGTTTGAAATAATATTTTGTCTACTTTCTCAAGGAACATGGTAAAGTTTGTATTAAATTCTTAAGTCCACTGGTATTTTTAAAAATTAAAAAAAAAAAAAGACAGGGTCTCATTATTTTGCCCAGGCTGGCCTCAAACTAGTCTCAAGCAATTCTCCTACCTATACCTCTCAAAGCACTGGGATTACGGGGGTGAGCCTCTATGACTGGCCCCACTGGTATTCTGTAAATAATCAGTAAGGTCTTCATTTGGACTTGATATTATTAACTCAGTATTATAATTAATTTATCATCTTTCACTAGTATTCTCCTCAGGACTACTGACACTTGGAATTTCATAAATAACATATTTCTAGTACTTATCAAGATCATAGGTGGATACTGCCTTTATATTCCAGTATCTCTAAAATATATGGTAGAGGAAAATGCTATTTAAAAATATCGAAGAAGGCCAGGCTCGGTGGCTCAGCCTGTAAACCCAGCACTTTGGGAGGCCGAGGTGAGTGGATTGCCT